ATCCTTTCCCCCTTTCCCCCCTTCATTTCCTTCACCAGCATGGGCAACATCCCCAGCATCACTTGCATCATCCGCATCCTTGGCAGGCGCTGATGCGGATGATACAGGTGATGCTGGCGATGTGCCGCTGGAGCTGCTAAGGATGCAAAAGCGCACCCGGGGGGAATCGAACACCCCAATGTTTTTGACAAACTGAGTTGCGCAAGCCCGCACAATGAACAGATTTAGTGAAGCGTCTTTGAATCACCGCGTGGTACGTGGACCCCCCCCCCTTCCGCAATAGTCTGAAATGGTGTTCTTGGGAGGGGTTAGGGGGGGGGTAACAGGTAAAGAGGTAAGGAGCATTTTTTGTGTCCAACACGCTGTCTGTTGTCGGCGGATTCTAGGTAGTCTCATTCCATTTATCTTTTTTCCAAAAGCTCACCTGGCTGTGGGTCAAAGCCAATGGTATCCCCTTTTGGTTGGTAGGTGAACTCGCCACCCATTTGAGCCTATTTTATCGCTGGCACCACGGGGTTTTGACCCACAGCCATGGAAGTGGATCTCCTTTCTGTGACTCAGGAGCTTGGAAGAGCTTGGCCTGAGCAGCGACTCAGAGGCCTTCGACTTGGCAGGCGGGGACGAGCTTGGGTTCCCAGCCATGTATCCCCTGAAGTCTTAGGCTTTTAGTTTGTTTAGTTGGACCAACTAAAAGTTAAACTTTTGGCAGGGCTATGATCCGAGGACTGCCCAGGGAGGATGCTATGAGATGGGCGTCGCTCAAAATCGGGTAGCCCCAAACTAGCTTGCCCTGGCAACTGGACATGAGGAACACCCACGTTTTTTTTGGTGGTTTGATTTTTATCCATACCCAGATGCCCGTTCGATTTTAGGGGCCGAGGGCAATTCGCCGAGGGCTGAGGGCAACTCGCTGATGTGCAGGGGAGGCTGGCACTTCCGAGAACTCTGAGAGTGAATTCGCAGAGCCCCAGCCTGAGGGAGACGGAGGCAAGGGTCATTTGCTTCCTGATTTTGGGGTCCTTTTTTTTTTCTTCTTCTTTTTTTTCTTTGATCTGTTAGACAAAGCAATGGACAAAGACTCAGGTATGCCAAGAGCATTGGCATTGAGGAGACGGATGGTGATTTGCTTTGGGTGGCCAGAGAGGCCATTTTAAGCTTGTTTGGTTTTTTGTTTTGTTCCCAGTTTGTCGTGCCGGGCACTGCATTTTGAGTTTTAAGTCGCCCCAGGCCAGTTTCATGCTGGCACTTGGGCCTATGAGGTTTTCTTGTTTGGTTGTAGTTGTTTTCTTCTTTTTTTCTCGATAATCTGCAGCTACAGGCCCAGCCCTGAAGCGACCCACGAGAATCAGTACCGTGGTTTCATTTTCAGCCAATGGGTTTCTAGGTTTTGGCAAAGCGTCGAGGACCTTCAAGCAAAAGACCGGCGAACGCCCACCGTTTTTGGGTCGCGCGAGTTTCAAGAGGCCCCTCCAGCAACCCGCCGCCTGCCAGCCCGGCAGTCCGGCAGCTGGCCGCGTGGCCAGGCCTTCGAAGCACCGCTCCCTGCGGGCTGGTCTGAACACCAGGACCCAGAGGGCCGTCTCTACTTCTTTAGCCAGGCGTCCAGCGCCTTGGGGCGCCTTGGGGTTTTGGGTTTTGGGCGTGTGTTTCAAGTTTTATTAGTGGGATCGAGAGAAGGAGAGCGATGTTCAAGCCTTCTAGAAAGCGGCTGATCCTTCTGGAGGTTCTGACTTCAAAAAATCTTCCTCACACATGGCCAGGGTTCTGACTGGGGGTGACTTCGGGTCACACGCCAGGTCACGCAGCAGAGCAACTGGTCACATCCCATGGCCCAACGCTCAGGCAGCGCTTCCTTGCAGTCGCCGGGCCATGGGTCAAAAGCCAAAAAGCCGTACTTTCGGTGAACATCCGATTCAAGCCAACCACCAAAATAGGAAACCTAAGATGTGGGGTGAATTCACCTAGCCCAACCAAAATGGGATACCATTGGTTTTGACAACCACAGCCACCAGTGCCCTAGTTGAAGATGACCGCTTTCCGATGTAAGGATGATGTCTTCCGCGAGCTCATTCAGCTGGTCAAGTCGGTCAGGATCGGGCGAAGCTTCCGTACAAGCGAGGGTGTCGTCGCTAGGAATGGACAAGAACCATGTTAGGGTTAGGGTTCTTTTGTCCATCTCGATCTAGCTTCCAAATTGCATGTTGACAGATGCCGAGCTGGAATAGATTGTTTTTGCTTTCAGCTACACCGATGTTGAACCGACAGTCGCACAAGCAAGCAAGCACGAGCACTGACACACAACAGGAGGCTCGATCTTCCAGATGGGAGTGTCATGGACGCAGCATCAACCTCAGTAAACCCTGCAGAAGGGGTTGGGACTGGCAGGCTTGCCAACTGGGCAATGGACCGTACAAATGATTCATTTGGTGTATTCTCCCCTGGTGTTGCGAGAACCTCGAGTTTGAGGGGTTGCGTTTGGCAGAGTCGGGATGTTCAAATATGGCTGTGGTGGACAAAACCGTTTTGGGATCCCAGTTTGGTTGGTAGGTGAATTCACCACCCATTTTAGAACCTATTTTAGTGGTTGGATTGGGATGTTCACTGGGGGTACGATTTGGCTTTTGACCCATGGCCATCTGATTTCTGGGTTTTTAGGGATCGATTCAAGGTGCAGTCCCACTTGCAGAGCACCCACGATCGAGCGACCGCTGCTCTGGATGGCTGGAGCGGGCGCAGCTCTCAGGGTGACTCCCCGGGCGATGCGCGGGGCATGTTCGACGCGACGACGCTTTGGAGGCCCTACACTGCGGAGGACGGGGAGTACTTCTGCAACTTCACCACCGGGGTGAGCCGCAGCCCTGGACTGGAAAGACTGGAAGCTGTTGATGCACGCGTTGGGCGTCTTTTTGTGGGTCGCGCGGCCCAAGGCACATGGCACAACCCGGTGGAGGAGTGGCAGACGGAGCTGGCAGTGCGGCAGCAGGCGAGAGTCAGAGTCCGCGAGGGCGGCAGCCTGGGACTTCGCAGGTGCTCCACAGATGCTTACTGAACGTCGCCAGCAAGGCGCAACTGCCATGTATTCGGCGGGAAAAAAAACAAAAACAGAACACATGGCATGTTTCGGTGAGAAAAGTAAATAAAATGAAAAACCAGCAGAACACATGGCAGCATGGCAGCATTATTGCTTTCTTGACGGCTTCAGGTACCCGCGAACAGCGCTCCTTGCAGCGATTCTGAATTGTGAGAACCTGAGGGGCTGATTTTGCTGTCGTCGGGCAAACTCAAACAAGGGGTTCTTGCGCAAGGCCAATCTTCTGGTGTCCGGAAAGGTGTCAAACGGCTTGATGAGCCTTGCATCCTGTGCGCTGTCGTACAGGACTTGAACAAATGAGCAGCTTTTGTGCAACCGCCAAATAAACCTCACGGCAGCCTCCTCCGTAGCGATCAAGCACCTTGGGGAGGATTGCGATTGGACCCTCGAAAGAAGAGAGCCCAATGCTTGCGATGTCTTTCCCTGGCACCCGGAACCCTCCATAGCGAGCTCATTCAGGGATGCGGATGCGCATCTAGGCCTATCGTTGGCGCATTTTGCGTGCTGGAAAAACGGATCATCTCGGTTCGATGGAGACACGTTCACGTGGCCCCACCAAAAAAGGGGCCGCTTTTTGGCCGCGCGGCTCAGGGATGTGCTGCCGGCCTTACCGCTGCACCTGGCCAGGCTCTGAAACACTTCCCAGTCCCTCGCGGTGCTTCGCATTCGCGGTGCATTGGTCGCATCCGCGCAATGTTAGTGTTTCTGAACAAAGAACCTGGGCCGTTCTCTCGTCTTCTCCGGCCAGGCCGACGGCCGAGAACGCCACGCCTCCGTCGCCGTCCTCTGCAAGGCTCGGAAGATGGTTTGCTGGCCGCGGCCAAGCGTGGCGGATCCACGAGGTCGTTTGCGACCTGCATCTCGGCAAGATCGACTCGATCGACCTCCGCCGGGCCCCTCAGCCCCGAAATTGTCCACCTCTGGACACTGTGGATGGACGAAATCCATTTCGCACCAATTTGAAACCAAAGCAAATCTCCCACAATTGTTGGTATTTGCAGGGGAGTCCTCTTTCCAGGGTTTCTGAAGGGTGCGAAATGGATTTCGCCACCATCCACCGTACCGGACACGTCTCTCGACGTTTCGGCGCCCAGATCACGCCTCGAAGCCGGCGGCCCTCCTTCAGCAGTGAGGCCAATGGGGTGTGTCATTTTTTGAGGTTGGACCCCCCAAAATGGCATCGGTTTTGCTGCGGGGTGTCCCTTTGAAACCAAGCAGAAAAAGGGTAGCCTCAAAAAAAAGTCAACTGGGGGTTTCTCAAAAGAGTGGTTTCTTTGTTCATGGTGGGCCGGTTTCCTTCTCCCTTTAAATGCCAACTAAAAGAGGGACCCAGAACGAAACAGACCTATTTCACTAAAACGGGGGACAAAAAACAACCACTTTCAGGGGGGTCCCATTTGGATTTGTCACTCCAATTTGGACTTTCGTGAAGAACTTTTTTTTCTGTCTGCGTGTCTAGGTGGGCTCCAGGAACACGTCCAAGTCCAGGAACTTGCCGCCGAGCGAGCCTCAGATGGAGTCAGCTGAGTGTCTTGCTTGGCCGTGTCTCTTTTTTGAAGGTACCCTTTGGTTGCTGGTTTTAAAGGGAAACCAAAAGGGACACCGAAGCCATTTTGCGGGCCAACCTTAACACGTTTACTGTCATTTGAGGGGATGATATGGGCCACACGAGCCCCAAGCTATCAAGGAACTGGAACCGACTCACCAAATTCCCATGGGGAGAAAATGTTGATTGACAGGGAAGGCCTTCTGCTGTGCGCCGCCTTGCCTCAGGTTAGCTCGGAAGGTGAGCGGAACCTCTCTCGATGCGAGGCATGGGTTCTCTCGCTGAGAATCCAGTGGACGTTCAGCAATCGTGACATCCTGGCCGCAGCTGATTTTGGAGTCAAGGTTCAAAACGTGAAGGACCAGCTGATTTTGGATCAAAAAGTGAAAGACCGCGCGACGATCAACCGATCAATCGGTGAATTCAGACGACGCATGGAGCCATGCAGCCGCCCATTCGTGTCTATGCAGATGCAAAGCAACGAGCCAGCCAAGGCAGGGATCGCATGTGCCAAGAATGAGATTGCCGACTGGACTTGACCACAAAGAGAAAGGAGCATAGGCGTCCTTCTTGGTTGTTTCTGTAAAAAATAGATGGCGATTCCTGGTTTACCTGGTGGTTTAATCATCTACCAGGGTCATCTATTTCCCCTCAAAGGACACCTATGGAAAGGAGTGCCCATGTTGGAATTCAAGACAAGGGTACTCAGGCATGGGAGAGAGAAGAACCGATCCAGGCTACAAGGACCGCCTACCGCATGGCATCGCGGACACAGGTGCCAAGCTTGTGGTTGAGGCTTGAGGCGAGAGAGGAGCACGTTGTCCGGTGAATCGGCCAGGCCATGTCTCAAGAAGAACCGGGCTTGGCTTGAATAATATGAAGCCAAGAGCAAAGACTCAGCTGGATGTGTCCCAACGTTTTGTCGCATGCTTGCAAGCACAACAAGCACGAAATCAATCACAGACACACATGCTCAGACACGATGCGTCAAGACACCCGCACAAAAACAGACACATAGACAACACGCAGACACACACACACAGAGACACACAACACACAGCGAGTCACAGAGAGACCCAGAGACACAGAGATGGACCGAAGCAGACAAGCGCACAATCAGACACAGAGAGACGCACAGATAGAAACACACAGAGACACACTCACAGACAGAGACACACACACAGAGACACATGCAGAGGCACAGGGACACGGAAACACAAGCACACACACAAAAAAAGCAAACACCAAGCAAATGCGCAAGCACAAAACACATGAACACAACAAACAGATACACAAACAGATGCAAAAACAGTCAAGCAAGGCACAGAAATAGCACAAGCAAGCAAGCAAGCAAGCAAGCAAGCAAGCAAGCAAGCAAGCAAGCAAGCAAGCAAGCAAGCAAGCAAGCAAGCAAGCAAGCAAGCAAGCAAGCAAGCAAGCAAGCAAGCAAGCAAGCAAGCAAGCAAGCAAGCAAGCAAGCAAGCAAGCAAGCAAGCAAGCAAGCAAGCAAGCAAGCCGACCAAACAACCCAACCAACCAACCAACCAACCAACCAACCAGCCAACCAACCAGCCAACCAACCAACCAACCAACCAAACAAGCCCGCAAGCAAGCAATCAAGCAAGCAAGCAAGCAACCCACCAACCAAATAACCAACCAAATAACCAACCAAGCAACCAACCAACCAACCAACCGACCAAGCAACCGACCAGCCAACCAGCCAACCAGCCAGCCAACCAACCAGCCAACCAACCAATCCCGTCCGTGCGTCCGTCCATCCATCCATCCATCCATCCATCCATCCATCAATCAATAATGAACCAATCAATCAAAGAAACAAAATCAATCATTCAATCCATTGATCGATCGATTAAAAAACAAACAAGCAAGCAAGCAAACAACCAAACAAACAACCAGAGAAACAACCAAATAAACAAGCAAGCAAGCAAGCAAGCACGCAAGCAAGAACCAATAAAACAATGCAACAAAGACGAGGAAGCAGCAAAGAAAACAAACAAGGCAGCTAAGAAACAAAGAAGCAAAGACACACCGAAGCAACCAACAACGAAGCCACGAAGCAAAAAAGCAAAGAAGCAAACAAACAAGGAACCAAGAAGCAACCCAATAAAGAAACACTGAAACAAAGAAGCAAGAAAGCAAGAAAGAAAGAAAAAGCGAAAGAAAGAAAGAAAGCAGGAAATCAAGAAAGAAAGAAAGCAAGAAAGAAACAAAGAAAGACAGCAAGAAAGAAAGAAAGAAAGACAGCAAGAAAGAAAGAAAGAAAGAAATACAAGAAACAACTAAAGAAAGAAAGAAAAAAAGAAAGAAGGAACGAAGGAAAGACAGAAAGAAAGGAAAACAGAAAGAGATAAAGAAAGACAATGAAGAACATGCAATAAAGAAAGAAATAAAGAAGCAAAGGAAGGAAGGAAGAAAGAAAGAGAGACACAAGCCAATCAACAAACAAGCAAGCAAGCACAACTAGCAAACGCACAAACTATTAATGAAAGAAAGAGAGAAGTCAAGAAACACAACGAAAAAGACAAGAAACACAAGACACACAAACACAGAAAGAAAGAAACACGGAATGACAGAAATTCAAAAACCAAAAACAAATAAAGCAGAGAGAAAAAATAACAGAAAGAAAGAAAAAAAGAAAGAAGGAAGGAAAAGAAAGAAAGAAAGAAATAAAGAAAGAAAGAAAGAAGGAAGGAAGGAAGAAAGGCAAGACAAACAGATGAATAAATAAGGAAAGAAATGCGTAACAAAAGAAGCAGACCGGAATTAAAGACATCATGAAAGAAGACAAAGTAAAGACATGAAGAAGAAACAGCCAATCAAATACGAAGACAAACAAACAAGGAACTAAGCAAGCAAGCAAACAAACAAGTCAAACCAACCAACCAAACAATTAGACCAAACAGAAAGACGGACAGACAGACAGGCAGGCAGGCAGGCAGGCAAACAAGCAAGCAAACAAACAAAGAAACAAACAAACAAACAAGCATTCAAACAAGCGCACAAACAAAGAACAAACAAACAAGCAAACAAACAAGCGCACAAACAAACAAACAAACAAACAAACAAGCAAGCAAGCAAGCAAGCAAGCAAGCAAGCAAGCAAGCAAGCAAGCAAAAAAACATTCAAGCAAACAAACAAACAAACAATCTAAAGACAATCAAGCAAACAAACAAACAAACAAACAATCAAACAAGCAAACAAACAAACAAACAATCAAACAAAACAGCAAGCAAGCAAGCAAGCAAGCAAGCAAGCAAGCAAGCAAACAATCAAACAAACAAGCAAGCAAGCAAACAAACAACTAAACAAACCAACGAACAAAGAACCACACCAAACCAAACCAAACCAAGTCAAACCAAACCAGCCCAAGCCAACCGCAACCAAGGCGCTAGACAACCAACCAACCAACCAACCCACCCACCCACCCACCCACCGACGATAAGCAAGCAAGCAAGCAAGCAAGCAAGCAAGAAAGCAAGCAAGCAAGCAAGCAAGCACACACACACACACACACACGCAAATAAACAAACAAGCAAGCAAGCAAGCAAGCAAACGAGCAAGCAAGCAAGCAAGCAAGCAAGCAAGCAAGCAAGCAAGCAAGCAAGCAAGCAAGCAAGCAAGCAAGCAAGCAAGCAAGCAAGCAGGAGCAAGCAAGCAAGAAGGAGCAAGCAAGCAAGCAGGAGCAAGAGTTGCAAGCAAGCAAACAAAGAGCGAAAGAGAGAAACATAGAAAGAGAGTGCGGGAGAAAGAGAGAGAGAAAGAAGGAAGGAAAGGAAAGAAAGGAAAATCAATACATAAAGAAAATAATTCATACAGAAAGAAATATAGACAGAAATAAAGATTGACATACTTCGAGAAGGAAAGGCGTAAACAAAGGAACAAATAGATAAAGAACGGAAGAAAGAACGAAAGGAAATAACAATAGAAATAAAGCACGGAGGTACTGCATACATTAAGAACAAAATAAAGAAAGAGCACAAGAAAAGAAATAAACAAAGAAAGAAAAACGAAGACCGAATGACAGAACGAACCAGACAATGAAAGACATAACGAAAGAAAGAGCGAAATAAGGAAAGAAAGACAGAAAGAAAGAACGAAAGGGTAAAAGAGAGAAAGAAGGAAGAAAGGAAGGGAAGGAGAAGAATGGAAAGGAAGGAAGAAATACAGAAAGAGAGAAAGACAGAAAGACAAAGAAAAGCAAG